GAAGCGGGTGGAAACAGCTGAGGCACCGAGTAAACTGGGACTGCAGACAGTCTTCAGACAGAGCAGGGTGCAGCGTGGGGTACGATGGGCCTGGCTCTATTTACACAGATACTGTTCCAACCACAACTGACAGCTTTCAGACGTGGGCGGTATCTATCTGGTGGAAGGATCTTTGAGGTGAGAGCGTGGCAGGGGGCCTGAGCACCCCCACTTCCTCTGCCTTTCTGAGTATACTGTTGTCAAGCTACTAATCCTGGTTCTGCTCTATTTTTGTGCCCCTTAAAGGAGTAGAATGAGGTGAAATCTGGCCACCTACTTGCCTGGGAGGCAGTCATGGCCGCTGGTGAGTTTCCAGTGCTTTGAGAGCTGTGGGTGGCTTTATGTGAGGAGTCATTTCCCTCCCCTTCATAGAAACCGGATGATGTGTGGGTTTACAGCAGGGCTTAGGATCGGAGAGCCCTGGGTTCAAATCCTGGGTCCTCTATTTATTAGCTGTGTGAAACAGGAGGCAAGGTGCTCAACATTTCTGTGCCTCACCTTCCCCGTATGTGAAATGAGGATAATCCTGCCTGCTTCATGGGTTGTTGTCTATTAAATGAATTTATATGTGTGTGTGTGTATATATATATATATATATATATATATATATATATATATCAAATATATACTTATATATATTATGTACGCATATAATGCAAAGGCAGGACAGGACAGAGTAATGTGACGTTTCATGTCAGAGAGGTGGGATTGTTCTCAGTCTACACAAGTGGCTCTTCCTTTCCGCAGTCTCAGTAGACACCTACCTATGATATTTGAGGTGTCAATAATACTGCCTGTGCCCATTACCATAGCTCTCCCTAACAACAGCTACAGTTTATTGCGAGCCTGATCATGTATAGATAGAGACCCTATTCATCCTTGGCCCTTTTGTCAAGCAAGTGAAGAAGACCCAGCAGGAAGATTGCTGACTGGCAAGGGCGGGGGGGGGGCAGGGGAGAGCCATTTAAGATTCTGGAGGAAGAGCATTATTGAAATAATCAAATATAGGCACAATAGGACTACTGTTATTTGAGGGTGGAGGCCTGCTGATTACTCAGAGGTGTTTGAGGTTAGGGCTCACCAGCAGCAGAGCTCCTAGCCTCTGTTTGTGGAAACTTGTTTTTGCCTACACACCATCCCCTGCCCCTTCCTCAATACCAAAGGGTCCTTTGGGAACCACCCGTCTTCCACTCTTTCCATGTAGTTCAGGTGGGGATGACCTCACCCCACCACGCCCACTCTGCTTCTAGGGCAGGTATATGACCCAGACTTGGCCAACCACAGTCACAGTGATTGGTTGAGGAGGAAGTCCTTTGTCCAGGGAGGGTCAATGAGAGTCAGCACTTCTGCTGAAAGAGGCACTCTTTTTCCACTGGAGTTGCTAAGCTGAGAAGACGTAAGCCAAAGCCAGTGGTGGCCACCTTCGCCACTGCATGGGCAGAGTCTACCTGAGAATAAAGACAGCAGAGGGAGAGGGCAGATCCAAGAGACAGAGTCACGTAGAGTTCTCGTTGCCCTTGCTGAGCACCTGAAACTAGCCATTCCTGAAGCTGTCAAGTTTTAAATTACATGAGCTAACATATTGCCTTTGAAAAGACAGCCTGAACTAGGTTTTTGTTAATGGCAACCAAAGGGGTTCTGACTAATTCATCTTTCTATTTACTTTTATTTTGATGAAAAATTTGCCATTTTTTACATTGTGGCGTAAAAAGAGAAGTCTGACATGTTTGACAACATACTTTCGACAGTTCTGTCTATTTCTGACAAGGACATGCTGGGAAGTTGTGGGAACACATCCCCTGTGTCCGTCCCCCTCCTTTCTGAGTACACTTTTATTCAGAGCTACATAAGTGTATGCTAATGACCTTACGATGATGACAATCAGATCTGCGCTCCAAGAAGATTATAGCAGAGTCATGAGTAAGATTAGAGTAGGGAGAGACAAGAAGCAAAAAGTCTACCCAGGAGGCCAATCTGATGATTCAAATGAGAAGTGATAAGGATCTTTATGAGGTGGTAGCCACAGAAATGGAAAGAAGAGAGCCTGCAGAGGTGGGATTGTCATGGGTTTGCAATATGTTAGAGGGTAGAAGAGTCAAAATAAAATGTTTTCATCTGCAAGGCCTGACCACCCTGTTTTGTACTTATCTCATAGCTCTCTTTCTCTTGCCCTGTCTGCCCAGCTATACTAGCCTTTGTGCTCACTGTGCCCCCTGCTCAGGACACTCTTACCCCAGATAGATCGTGGTTCATTTCTTCACTTCCTTCAAGGCCTCTGCGCAGCTGGCAGTACATCAGAAAGGCTTCCCTGAACTTCCCCTTGAGCTGTTTATTTTTACAACCCCCATCCTAGCACTCCTTATACCTGCGTAATTTTTCTCCATAGTATTCAGCCCCTCATTGACTGTGTGTGTGTGTATATATATATATATATTTCTTTTCTGTCTTTCTTGACTAGAATGCAAGCTCCACGAAGGCTTGGTGACTTCTGTTCCCTGCCAAGTCCCCAGAACCTAGAACAGAATCTGGCACAAAGTAGATACTCAACAAATACGAGTAAAGAAATCTTGAACAACTGGGACAGTGATGTGGCATTGACAAAAACAGAAACACTGGGAGAGGAGTGGGGCCAGGGTTGGTGGAGTGGAGGAGTGAGGTGGTGAGTTAGTTCAGAGCCCATGGAATTTAAGTTTAGATGTGCAAATAGCACTATCAGGCGGGTGGCCCAAGTGCTGATCGGTCTGGCACTCTGGGAATTAAGCATTAAAGGCTGGTGGAAGCTCTGGCGTCAGTGAAATTCCTGAGGAGACCATGGAGAGAGAGACCAGACATGGGTTCAGAGCCCTAGGGAAAGCCTACGGTGACCAACTAGTCCTAGGGTGCCCAGCACTTTCCTGGGTTAAAAACTGGAAATCTAGCTTGGGAACCGCCTGAGTGTCAGGCAAATTGAGAAGGGCCTAAGAAGGCCCTTCCACTGAGGTAGAAGGAGGGGAAGGACTGGTTGGAAAAGGCAGAGGAAAAGCAGCCTGGAGCTTCCTCACAGAACCCAAGGAAGGGGAGGGCTCTGATAAGGACATGTCTCCACTCCTTTCTCTCCTCCCCCGAGACCAGTTTGGTTCTAACTTTCTGAGCCCAGGAAGGCTGAGTTACCTCTGAGCTTCCCCCGACCCCACCTCCCAGCAGCAGTTGATGGCTTCCTGGGAAGCCTGGCAGTTGGTTTAGTTCCAGGGCCAGGCCCCAGACCAACTGGAGCAAGAGTGAAGCTTTAAATTCTGGTGTCTGGGATCTTAAGTGATACCCTGGGTAAGGGGTTCTCAGTCAGTGATCATTTTCTGCTTGTCCCAAAGTAGAGTTTAAGAGGGTAAACAACTCTGCATTTGCCTAGCCACTGGGGCTAAAGAAACAGGAAGTTGCCTCTTCTCTCGTAAACAACACCAGCCAAGATTAGCAGCACTCGTAAGGTGCTAGCTCTTAGCAGTGGGCACTGAGTTGAACCCAGGACTAACTTTCAAGTGAGGGAAATGATTGCTGGGTAGATAGAAATTCAAAAAAATCCTAAGGGACTTTTTTTTTTTTTCACGGTATGCGGGCCTCTCACTGTTGTGGCCTCTCCCGTTGCGGAGCACAGGCTTCGGACGCTCAGTGTCAGCGGCCATGGTTCATGGGCCCAGCCGCTCTGCGGCACGTGGGATCCTCCCGGACCGGGGCACGAACCCGTGTCCCCTGCGTCGGCAGGTGGACTCTCAACCACTGCGCCACCAGGGAAGCCCCTAAGGGACATTTTCAAACCTCTTTCTGAACTTGGTAGTTCTTGGAATAAGTCTTGAACTAAGTATTTGGAATCTTGGTTATTTTAAAGAGCGGATGAGACAATAAATTATAAAGTACCTCAAGATGTGTAATTTAATTCCATAATTAAAAGTGTATAATTATTTTAAATAATTACACAAATACAAGGTCTTATCACTAGGTCTCATTTGAAATGAAAGAACTGTCAATATGTGATCTATAGAAAACATGGTCCCTGTCCTCAGAGAATGCTATGGCTTACCTATAGAGTCAGTACATATTCCCAGCTCATGATAAGAACTTAACTGTATTTACTAACTGATATTTAAGGAAGTAGAAGTAAATGTTGTGTCAACTCCCCGACTCTCTCACCCCTTCCCAGCTCCCTACAATATTCACATCCACCTTCCCAATGAGCATGGAGAAAAGGCCAGAGTGTGGCCATATTTCCAGCCATCTTTCTTCACCCACAGACCTGTTCTGGGAAGAAAGGGTCAGGAATGTGGCAAGCCTGAGTTTAAATACATTGCCTAGAAATTTAATTCAGTAAGTGTTTACAGGCCATCTACTTGAAGCCTAATGCTGCATTGGGCCCTTTGGGGATCTAAAAGAAGGTCCCTGCCCTTAATCTCACTGGAGTGAAAAACTCCAAAAAAGTCCCCCAAATGAGGTCCTGTGTTATTAAGTGCCAGTGTTAGTTGTAAGTGTGAAAAAATTCTGGAAAAGGGAAACATTAATATTTTAAGCAGACTTTATATTTCATGGAGGCTAGGCCATGAACTGGACAGCCTGTCAAGAGAAGGAAACTTGAGTCAGGGTGTAGTAAAATGAATAAGTATGGCAGTTGGAAAAACAGTGACAAGACTTTCTGCTGAGATCTAGCTTGAGAAGGAAGGGGGAAATGCTTCATCATTCCTTTAAAAATATGGATAGCTTTCAGTAGTATAAAAAAACCCCATGGCTCTTAAGAAGTTAAAGGGCTTAAATGAAGACACCTCCATACCCTGGGACTTGAGCAGATAACCTGGCACTTAGGCATTTAAAACCCCAGGTCTCTCTGGAATATGAAAGCCCACTGTGCTGGGAAGAAGCACTAGCAACTGGTCGATACAGCTTTATAAATTCATCAGGATAGGAGAGGTTATGCTATGGTAACAATGAACCTCTAAATCTCAGTGTCTTGATACAATAAACATTTATTTCTTGCTCATGTTACATGTCCAACATAGATAACAGTGCAGTGGGGTGAGCTCTATTCCATATAATCTCCCAGGGACCCAGGCTGATGGAGATTCCCCATCTTGGAATGTTACCAACTTATCATATGGCTTCCAGGGTTGCTGTAGCAGGGGAAAGAAATCTGCTGTATCACGCAAGATGTTTAAACGACCCAAGTCTGTAGGTGGCTTATATCACTTCTACCGACACGCAGTTGGTGAAAACCCAACCATAAGCGAAAGGAACAATGGGATATATCAACTTCCTTTGTGCCCTGAAAGAGGAAAAGTGAAATAGGATTTAGTAAACACGCTGCGTTATATTCATCATGACCTATGATGTAAAGAATCTTACTCTATTGATAATAGCTAACACATATTTTGCTAATCCTTATAATAATCCTGTGAGGTAGCTTTTATTGTTATCTCCATTTTAAAGATGAGGGACGTGAAGGAAAGAGGAGTTAAATCACTTACTCAAGATCCCACAGCCAGTAACTTAGCACAATAGAGTTTCAAACTCAAGTAGTTTTTCCCCAGAGTTCACACTCTTAACCATTATGCTATACTACCTTTGTCATTGATTTAGTTAAATCGGAAGTCAAATCATGGCCCCATGTACTCTGAACCTCTCACACTGGGGTATAGAAAGCTTCTAGCAATAGTACTAAGCTTGACTTTCAGCAGGCCCCCTTGCCAGTATTGCCATAGCATCCGTAGTATAACTCTATTCACAGTGTTTTTGACCTGCCTATCTTGGCCTTCTATCTGTTCTAAGGGATGTGGCTGAGAACTTAATGGTGTATAAACTGTATGGGTAGGTGCTGTTTCTAAATGCAACACATTCTTGCATAGGCATCAGCAATTGTCAAAAGCATTGTGTCCTCTATTTCTGTCCTTGGGTGAGGCATTCTTGTTCCCCTGTTCTTAAGTGCTCTCCAGCATAAGTTCTTTTCATTCTTTGTAGAACAGAGGTTAAGTGAACTATATTTTTCTTCTAAATCAATGTAATGGAGCAGCTTATGTACAGCCAAGTGGTGGCGGAGACACTGGCAACTGGCCCTGAGCATGGCTGAGTAATGGTGTACTAGGAATCCAAGTTATCTCAAGCCTCAGACTTATTCAGGTTTGCTTATGTAACCCACGTGTCCAAGGTTAGACCAGCCTGGAAGCAACATTAGGGCTATAATTTCAATTACGTCCACATTTTAAACCTAATATGAGCTGGAATTTTGTTCACTGCCGTATGGTGAGCATCTAGAGCAGTACCTGGCATATAATAGACGTTCAATAAATGTTTGTTGAGTGAATTTGTTGACTGAATTCCGATCCTCTTTGGAGACACTGTTGTACTGGGAGAGCATTGACTTTAGAATCAAATAGACTTGGGTTCAAATCTTACAAGCTATGTGACCCCTTGTAAGTTATTTTTTCTCCCTAACTTCATCCTTCCTCATCGATAAATGAGGCTAACATTACCTACCTCTTAGATAGCTATGAGAATTAAATGTGTTAATTCATGTCAAATACTCAATACACTGTAGCTAGGTATGGCTTCTGTCCTTACCAGAAAAATTCCTGGAAATCCAGCTGTTCCTCAACGTTCCCCTTAAACATTTCTGAGTCTTCAGGGGTACCTTAGGTACGTTCACAAGGAAGTCTTCTTGGCTACAGAATCCCACTCTTCTCTTGGGTTCCCCATCAGCTTCCTCCTCCTCTGCTCTGGTTTCTTTTGGTCTTGTCTGATGCTGAGTTCTCCACTGCCATTTTGCAGTGCCCACCATGTAGGGTGCTAATATCTGAGCTGATACACTGCCTCCTACTGGAAGCCAATGATGTCAACACTGAGTCAACAGCACTGAGGCCACTGCTGCTGCTGCCACCCCCTGAAACTTTCACCAAAGGCACCATCATTGCCCATTAAAGTCACTGTGTGCTTCTCTGCTAGGCCACCTCACTGGGCTGTTGCTTCCAAGGACAAGAATCCCCCTGCTGAAGCAGGAAGCATTCTTAGGCTGTTCCTATTACCCTGGTCCCAAATGGCTCTGCAGATTGAGGAGTATTCCTGATCCACACTCCTTTCCACATGTCCCCATTGTGCTGTTTGTGCACCCCAATATCTCACAGAAATTTTCTGTGACTGTGCCTACCTCAGTTCTCCACCACCCCAGGCCCATCCCGGGACTTAGTCACATCCATAACCTGCTGGGTGGGAACAATCTGAGCGGCACACACCAGCTGTTACTCAAAACCAGTCCTTCCCCCACAAGTCATCTGTGGCAGCTCGTGTCTACCAGTTTCTTCCTCTCCTAGAAAGAGTCCTTCCTTGGTGGTTCCTGGGTCCCTCATACAAATAGGTTCCTGACAGGCCTCCCCACTGGCTCTCTAGACCAGCCCTGACATGTCTGAGCCCCAGAACAAATATGGCTGTCTCCAGCCCAGATCCTCGCCACTTTTAAAAGGGGAAAAATCGACAGTAAAGGTTAAAACATAACTTTCTTGGGACTATCAGAGCTGATCAACAGAAACTTAATACTGAGATTTCAAAATAAGGACTTCTTGGATAAACATTAGAAAAACACAGGGGGCACTGATTGAGATGATTTGGTAAAAAGTCCTAACCTTTAACAGATGGGCGAAATTGCACCAAAATCAGTGACAAGGAAGTTACCTGCACATCTGGCGTCAGTGATCTACAAAAGCTGATGGAGCTGGGAAACTCAGAAGAACTAGAGGAGGTACCCTTTGGGGATGTTTGACGAAACAAGGGCTATCACAAGTGCTAGGGGCTGTGCTAGGAGCTTTTCATACACTATCTCTAGTCTTCCACCCTGTGTTACTGGAAAAAAACCACCCGTCCCCATCCACTCCCTCCCATGCTCGCTAGAGGAGGCCTGGGAGGAAAAGAGCCTTGTCTCTCAGAGTGAGTGTAATCTGGGGCCCTCAAAAAGTACAGTGGGTAACTTTAAAGCTTTGACAGAGTCCTTGGACATGTTAAGGGAAAGCAGCATTTGCAAGTAGGGACTGGAGAGAGATGAATTGTCGCATAAGATCATAGGAAGAATTTGTTTTTCCCTTGAGGATGGCAGCAGAGATGAAAACAGGCAGAAGAGAAAGAAGAGGAGGTCTGAGAGCCGTGGAAAACACCTGAGGAATGAGAGACCGAGAGAGATGATATTCATTTTTTGGTATGCTTGGCTGGCTCTAAATCCCTCTGTGCACTATGAAAAGGCCTTAGATGAGTGAGTTTTCATTGAAATTAAGGAAAAAGCTGAGCTCCACAACTAGATTGACATGGCGCAGTTCCGAAGCAGTGTGTGGGGATGATGAGACACTATTCCAGAATTCAGATAACCTTGGGGAAGCAGGAGCTCACAGAGAGACCATTCACATCCCCAGCAAGTTTTCCCAGGGGGCACATGGGACACTGTCTGTACCTGTGTGATGGGTGTCTGAGCACATCTTAGCTAAAAATTAAGGAAGACCCTCTGACTGACCTCTGCTTATTTATACCTGTAGCCACATGGTTTGTATGATTTTTGAATTGTTTGTCATTTTGCATCCCATTTATAAACATTTCCAATGTCATTAAAATCTCTTTGGAGACATATTTTAAAAGTTTTTGCACAATATGGGTGTACCTTAATTTTCTTAACTCTATAAAATTGAGCATTCTGGCTGTTTCCAGCCTTGTTTTTTGTTTGCAAATAATTTTCTACTGAGCAGCAGTTTGTCTGATACCAACCAGGGTTCTTGGCCTTCCCCAATCAATAGGAATTGACTAGAGGACAGGCAAGGCTTTACTGGGGCTCCTGCAGCTGCAGGAGGGAGTGAAAACAAGTAACAGTTTCCCTGGTTCATCCTGGAGATGGGGCAAGCGGGTTCCTTATGTGGGGTGAGGGTATGGAGGGGTGGCTTAGGTGTTTTGCCCACCCCTTTGGTGGTGTTGAGTGCAGGGGCATACACAGTATCCCGCTTTTGCTCCTGACACCCTATTTTTGCTCCGGGCTCTTCAGAAGTGGCAGTTGGGTTTTTTGGTCTTTTTGTCTCTTTTGTCCATAATCTGTCCGCAGTTATTTTTAGTCCCTTATAGTTTCTTTGTATTTTGTTGTTTGAGGGGATGTTTGTCCAGGTGCAAGCGCTGCAGCAAAGGGTCCCAGGCCCAGCCTGTCTCATAACTGTCCCAAAATGAAGTTAGGTAATCTAGACTAACTAGCAGTCTCAAAGTTAGTCTCTGTTGAGAGCCTGACTATACGGATGAACAATGGCCAGACCATATATGAAAATTGAACTCTGATCCACAAGCTCTGCAACAACGGCCCAAGAAGCCAAATTACAGCCTCTGTAGCCATCAGCCCATAATCGCCAACTTCCCTACATTTTGCCCCTGCATTCAAGTCAGGACCAACCAGAGACCGTCAAATATGCTTTCCAAAACAATCACATAGGGTGTTCTGCTTCCAGGTAGCCTCATGCCCAAAACCTCCCATCAGAACCTTGAAGCCTTGAAGCCTTCCCTGTTTTTCACCATGAGGTTTTCCCACTCCACTACCTGTCTTTGAGTCTCTGTCAAAAGCAAGTGATCGTGGCTGAGTCCATTGCTATAGCAAGCTTGGCAAAAACAGTCTCTGCTTGTTCTCATCTGGGTGGTCTTCCTTTATGTCCACACTCCCCTGGAATTAACCTGGTGGACACCCCAAAGGAATGTCACAGGCAAAAATACTGCATCAGAGTTTTTTCCACCATGAGCCATTGGAAAATACCGGCTAGAGAACCCAGAAGCTATTTTCAGCCAGGGGCCTCTCTGTGAGTGTTGTAAACCCCACCCCATGGCTGCCTTAAACCTGCCACCCTCCGCAGTACCAGGAAGCTTAGGGCAAGTGTCTCAGGCTCTAGTGAGAGCTGGATATCCTACCATCACCCCACCACCTCCAGTCCCCAGCATCCTGCCACCAAAAGTACCCAGTGTGGAGTTAATGCAGTAAGAAGAGCCCTGATGTCTACCTTCCTAGCTGTGTGATCAAGGGTAAGAGGTCTAGAAGGACATCTAAGAGAAAAACACCTCCATACCCCATGCACACCTATCAGACAGAAGGTCCTTGGCCCAGTGTCTTTCTTGGCTACGTGGTGCCTGCGGACACACAGCAGCAGCGGAAGGAAGCCACAGAAAATAAACCAGCTGCTCCGTTCAAATTGCTTCAGTCCATCACATCGCCACGTCACCAGCCCATGGTGCTGTGCTAAGTACCACAACATGCACCAAAGTCCCTTTTCA